TAAAAGAGCGCTATGTCAATATAAAAGGGCCACAAAAAAAGTACCATACGTAGAGAATCCTTAAGGGAAAGGGAACCCTGTCTTCAAACGATCTCGTTGGACACGTGGCGAAACCCCAATAATGCTCCCTTAATATTCAAACATAAAGGAAATATCTCATTTCCTAATAGGAAAGGTTTCCTTTTAAGTCCTTCTCCTTATAGACTTGATTTTCTCTCTATAAAAGGGGAGAGCAATTCTTCCCTAAGGCAGACAACAAAATATACAACTTTGACCTAGGGTTTCTCACGGGGATCTCCCTTCTCTCCTTTCTCCCTTTCTCTTCCTCACGTCCTTTCTCTTTCCCGTCACCATCTTTGGACCTTCGAAGACTGGACCAACCTCCCTAGCCTTAACTCCCTACTTACACAAAGAGAAGGCCATTATACATTTCAGCCAAGCTAGGACCCGAAGAGGAAAAGAAGTTACTTGACCTATTGAAAGGTAAAAGAAACCTTTTCCTCATCGTAAACTTTAGGCTTTGGTTAGAAAGTAAAACTGATATGTGTTTCCTTTCATAGAGTTCCAGGGTGTCTTTGCTTGGTCATACGACCAAATGCTGGGCTTGGACTTGGCCCTTGTCAAACACTCCTTGTGCATAGATCCAAAATTCAAATGAGTAAAACAACCATAGAGGATCTTTAATCTGGAGATAGCTCTGAAAATCAAGGAAGAGGTTGAACGACTTCTGAAAGTAGGATTCATCAAGCCCATCGCAGACCCGTACTGTTTAGCTAACGTGGTTCTAGCCAAAAAGAAGAACGGACAACTCAGGTTAGTTTTTCATGCTCGAAGAGTACATTTAGCTTTCGGTTATCAGAACAAAACTGGATATCCTGATAGACTCAACGGCGGGAAACAAATTGTTCTCCTTCTTAGACACCTACAGTGGATATAATCAAATCTTCATGGACCTTGTGGATGCACCACACACGGCCTTTCAGATGCCAATAGAGAATTTTTACTACAAGATGATGCCCTTTGGCCTAAAGAATGTTGGAGCCACGTATTAGAGAGCGATGATGAGCGTCTTCCATGACATGATGCACAAGGAGATAGAATATTATGTTGATGACATAGTGGTCAAGGCGAAGAAGAAGGAAGATCACTCAGAAGTGCTTAGGAAAGTATTTGATAGATGCAGGATATTCAACCTGAGACTTAACCCTTTGAAGTGTGTGTTTGGAGTACAGTCCAAAAAATTCCTAGGATACAGAGTAGATCAGACCGGGATTCATCCAGATGAAGTTAAGGTGAAAGCAGTTCCCGACCTAGCACCTCCAAGTAGCGAGTCTCAACCGAAAACCTTCCTAAGAAGAGTATCTTACCTTAGAAGGTTTATCCCTAGCCTATCACATGCAGCGACGCCGTTGCTAAAACTGACCAAGAAGTCTACAGAGTATAAGTGGTCAATGGAGCATCAGGATGCCTTCAATCAGAATGTAAAGTTGATCGCAAGGAACGATCCAATCAAATACTTCGTAGGCAGACCTCCTCTCTCAAGAAGATTGGTCAAGTGGATAATGCATCTTAATGAGTACATAATCGAGTACACTCAACCCAGAGCCATTAAGTGTCAAGCAGTGGTAGACCTCTTAGCCACCTTCCCCACCGATGACAATTTCCTCATTTCTGAAGAGGTACCTGGAGAGCTACCCATCATCACAGTAGTTGAGGATGGGGAGTGGACTTTGACTTTTGACAAAAAGCAGCACTAGCACCTCAACTGGAGCCAGAGTCACATTCACTTCGCCCACCAACAACACCTCAGCCTATTCATTCAAAATACAGTTCCCCTATTCACACTACATAGCTAAGTATGAAGCTTTAGTACTAGGGCTGACAGTAACGAGAGACTCCGAAGCCAGAAAGGTCAAAGTAGTAGGGGATTCGAAATTGGTGATTGGGGAGATGGATGACAACACCACAGCTAAGGAATTAACGATCTTGCCATACAGGACCCTAATCTAAAGACTAACCAGGGACTTGGAGGTGACCTATGAACACCAGAACAGAGCCAAAAATAGGTATGCTGATGCATTAGCCACTTTGGGATAAAAAATACAGTCAAGTGAAAATCCAATGAACGTTACCATCCAGAAGCACTGTGAACCATCAACTAAGAGATTGGGACACTGGGTGGAGAAGAAGGATGAAATAATAATAGAGGATTGGAGACACAGTGTGATACAGAAGTTGAGTAACCCGACAGAGGCGATGCAAGATGGAAAGACATTACTAAGGTTTCAACTGGTGAATAGGGTATTATACCATAGATTGGCAAATGGAGTTAGAACAAGGTGTTTAGGGCCTAAAGAAGTAGAAGTAGTCTTAGATGAAACCCATAAAACCTACTGTGGAGACATAACTACACACTATACAGAAGGTTGCAAAGGTTTGGGTACTGCTAGCTAGCGATGAAGGCTAATGCAGCCAAGGTACATAATGATTGCAAAAAGTGCATCCCGAAAGCAGAAAATAATGAGTGTCTTACTGTCGGTGAAGCAGACTGGAGAAACATGTACATAGATTTCATTTAGAATAGCACCACACCTGCCGACCCAATTATGAAGAAAAAATTCTTGGCCAAAGTCAAAAGATTCTACCTCCATGACGAGTGCTCTACAAAAAATCCGACACTAGAAAGCCTGTACGATGCCTAGCCGGTGAGGAGATAGAGGAAGCCCCATATGCAGCCCACAGCTCTGAACCAGCCCCACACCAAGGACAGATGGCCTTACACAACCATATCTTGCACTTAGACTTCTACTGGCCTACCATGCTGGAAGACATCCAAAAGCATGTGCGGAGGTGCCACAAATGCCAAGTACATGCCAAAAGGATACATCGACCAGCCAATGACCTCCATCCCATCATTACACCCAGGCCTTTCCACACCTAGGGGTAGACTTAATTGGAAAAATACACCCCCACCTTCCTGGGGATATTGTTTCATTAAAGTGGCCACAGATTACTTCACACCTAGGGGTATATATACATTACACATACCCTGGTCCGCCTAGGATGCTGCATGCTCCATGCGAAGGCCCTAGAAATCCCAAGTGCACTCTCACATACCTTGGTCCACCCAGGATGCCGCATGCTCCATGCGAAGGCCCTAACAACCATAGGTGCACTCTTACATACCCTGGTCCACCCAAGATGTTGCATGCTTCATACGTAGGCCCTGGCAACCCCAAGGGCACTCTCACATACCCTGGTCTGCCTAGGATGCCGCATGCTCCATGCGAAGGCCCTGGCAACCCCAGGTGCACTCTTACATACCTTGGTCCACCCAAGATGCTGCATTCTCCATGCAAAGGCCCTAGCAACACCAGACGCACTCTTACATACCCTAATCCGCCCAGGATGCCACATGCTTCATGTGAAGGCCTTAGCAACCCCTGGCGCACTCTCACATACCCTGGCAACCCAAAGAAGGCCCTAGTAACCCTAGGAACAATGGCAAAGCAAAGCAAGTAATATCACAAATTATGATAAATTACCTTGGCAACCCCAAGGAGCACATATCGGATACAAGGCACAATGACAAAGCCTTAGTATTTCATATTTTATGATTACCCTGGAACCCCCAAGAAGAATCCGATCACATTGGACATGATAAAGCATTTTGGCAGTTGAACTCTCTTATGTGCAACATACTATCCTCGAAATACCAGGACAGACTGAACCCCATTTCTATATACATGATAACTAGCTCTTAGTTGACCAACATTTATTTTTCTTCGCATGTACGATGCAACCGCGCTCCCTCAAACTCGCACAGGTTTCTCAACATTAGATAGCATTCATTTCTGTCATTACGAAAAGTTCTAGCTCTTACGACAGCGATAAAATTTTACTTTTCTTATGCGATGAAACTTATCCTTTTTCATACACAAGTACTTAACCTCAGCATATCCGATGACATCTGTCTTTTCTCACGTGATAATACTTAATTTTGGCATTTGTGATGAACTCTGCCTCTCATACAATAGTACTTAGCCTTTCCACGTGTGATGAGATCCATCCCTTCTTCATGAGATAGTACTTGAGTTCAGCGCATGCACTAAACTCTTCACACGCAATGAGATCTTATAATACTTTACTTTCGTGTGTGCGATGTAGTCTAACTTTGAAAAATGTTTATTTTGCTAAAATGCGATATACTCTGATTTTCGCAAGCATGGTAACACTTGATTCCTTCAAATGAAATGGAATTCATCTTTCTCAAGAGGGTTAGTGATCAAGTTTCTTGAATGCGATGAAATTCAACCTTTTCACATGTAACCCTTTTCTTAGCATACTAATATCTAAGCAAATTAACTGTGCTATAAAATCAGCCATACTGATGGACTTTGGTATAGTGGCACTAAAGTGAAAAGTCACGCCTACAGAGCACACAGGGCCTGTATAGCCTATTTGTGACGGTTCAGCCTCTATCAACGTCATCAGCACGTCATCTAAGTGTCTTGGGTTGGGTCCTTGTACTATTTTTGTAAAGGGGATATGTCAATGGCAATTATGTAAATAGTAATATGAATGTTCAGTATTTTGATGTATCATTTTGTCACTCCCCCAAAAGCTTAACGTATTCTTTGAGGGGAGGTAGGTAGTCGAGTGAGCTCATAAGTGTGTAAAGGTTAAGCATGAGATTCCCTCGACACTGTACTGTATGCTTGTGCTTACCACTGATTAATGCAATACATGTTGCCTTTTGTCTAATTTGTGTACATTCTTGTTTCCTTTTGTGTGTTGTTGCTTGCATTTATAGGCTTTCTCGACCCCATCGAACACCACTCGAGGCCCCGTCGATTAGCCTCGTGACATATTGACATCATGTTCAGCCTACTAAGGCCTACTAGTGTTGCGCTCAATCGGACAAACCCACCAACACTGCTATGTCACTAAAATTATAAAGGGCCACAATCAACAAAAACTTGAGATAGACCACACGACAATAAAATCAAAAATAGTCTTTCATTACAAAAATCTTAGCAATTTACATAGTATAGAGTTCATATGCATTTCACGTTGCATACCATTCTTTCCTCATATTGACTATCTTTGCCAAACTCTACTTCTGCATTCAAAACCTAACAGGCAAACATCCTTTATAGATTTACTGTGATATTATTTTCCACTGACGACTGCACTCGTAAAGAAGGTCGTTTAACTTTCAATTGCCTTCGAAAGATTTGATTCAACCACCTTGAGGCGCAGGCAAACATCCTTTATAGATTGAGCAGAAAGAGACTAAGACCCCTTGAGACCATATTTCCAAAACATGTGGGCCAGTAGAACAATTCGCTCCTCGACCTGGTCCATTTGAAAACCGAGAACAGAAAAAGACTCACAAGTCCTCAGCCATTAGGCGAACCTAGACCACGAAAGCTCATCAGTGGATTGGACCATGATACAATTCATCATTGTCATGATTGTATTGAGTGATGTCCCTATAACCACTAGAGGAATGTCAGTAGGTGGAAACTAGTCCTTTTGAATAATGACATAAGTCGCCTTTGCTACAGAACTTGATACGAAATATTTTTTGTCTTTTTGAAAACTAGAAACCAGATCCACAACGACATAGTCTAAAGGAACGACTTCATGCTTCTCACAATACTCCTTAAGCTCTTGTAGCACTAATGCAAGTTCCTCGTCATGGGACAGAGCCTCGGGCGGCGATACTATCTCAAAACCCATAGGTTCACTTTTGGGTTGAGTCTCCAAGTCCACAGCCGATACATCTCCAACAACATCAGATTCAACGAGGCCAGTAGGTGCAACCTCTTCTTCATGACCTATGTCTGTTGTTGTCTCGTGCTCTGTCTCAGATAGCACTTCAGCTGGCCTTTGACCTTGTTTTCCCTCAGCAGACTGCCCTAACTAGAGTCCGCCTCTTCAGGAGTCTCAACAGCCGGTAGATCCTTTTGGGTAATCTCGGTTTGACACACTGGCTCACTAGATGGCTGCTTCTGCAAACCCACAAGGATTTCTTCCCCTTCTCGCATAGCAAAGATTGGCGCTACGTCATCGACAACAGTATTCTCGGCTACCTTGGCATCCCCAAGGCCACTGGGACGGTCCTCAAGTGTTCCCTGACCCTTAGTAGAGGGCTGCAAGGACTGTAAATCCCACACCAGCCGTCTGACAATAAGCGAGACTGGCACAACAAAGAAATCCACATCGCAAACCCCCATGCAGTGAGATAAATAACACACGATTAGTACAAGGAAATAAAACATAATAAAAATCAGATAAATACCCACACTGTCTGTACCTTTTCGCCAACAATGCCCTCAGACATAACTTGTGGGGTTTCCACATCAGGCTGAGCATCATCGGCCTCCACCCGCTTCAACACAAACGACTGTAAAAAGACTAATACAAGCCATGACATAATAACAGCACCAGCAGTTAACCAAATACAATACAGAGCTATAGAATCTTACCAAATTAACTTTTTTGGGCTCCCTCCTACGTGGATAGGGAGCCATTTTCTTCACACACCCACCTGTGACACGAACAAAAACAACCTCAGTGGGGGGAACCGGCACTGCAGACTGTACCGACTCCGTATCAGCCACCTCCCTTGCCTCAGGAGTTGGGGCTGGAGGACCATGTCTGACTCCTTCAGGATTTGCTCGTAGAGAACCCCTACCTAGATCCTCCTCAGCCCGAGACGATGCAACATCGGACTCGGTTTCATGCTGCACCACTAGTATAGGAGGAACGATTGCACGAGGCAGCCTAGCTGATCTGACTCTCTTGGCAGCAGGAGCACAGTTGCCTTCACCTTTTTCCACAACAGGGTGCTTACCCTTCCGAACAACGCCCAGAAATTCTCATTCTTCCACGATTGCGGATGGAGGAATCGGTTGAGGAGGAGCCAGTGCCTGCCCCTAGTTAGGAGCATGACCAAAAGGGGGAGCCATGACGTGATGAAGATGGGGGTCGCAGACATAAACAATTGGAACCCACCAAATAAGGAGCACATATAGGCCAAATGGAGGGACCTACAAACCTCAACCCTCTTGTACCCCGCAATAGGGAATCAAAAAACCCCCAGGAATTCCAAGGCATTCCTACAGGTCCAGAACTCATTCTCCCCTACAGACTGTAAGAACTGAGCACCCAAGTCGTCATACCCAAACTCACAAAGGACTCTGTCAAGATGATAAGCCACAACCTGTGCCTCACTGGATCGGTCTAGGTAGGCGATGACACCGGGCCATAGAACAATACGTGCCACACCAACGAGGGGATGAGTCTCTTCTACTACACAATTTTGGTTACCATCTTCAGGCACGACAGTACTCACACAAAAGGGCATGGAATGCTGAACGCCCCGAGTATAGGGCCTCCATACAAACCCTTCAATAGAGGATAGTTTCAATAAGATCTCAGCCACCCCGAACTATCTAAGCCTCTTGGCGCTAATCCAGCATTTCCCATGGCAAACACCCAGGGACTGGTCTTTGGTCTGGTCTCCATCCAAAGTGGAAATGGTCACATTCATAGGGGATAGGCATCAAGGCACGACACTAACTAAACTCGAGACACTCACACATGTACATAAACAAAAAGGGGAAGAAGATGTAGCTGCAATGCCTTTTGCAGCTTGGATCCATTATCTGAGGGACAGTGTCGTCCATCTACTCGAACAAATACCCCAAAAACATTGATGCCAATGGAAGTTGAAGACCTCGAGCAGCAAGCACGACAACGGGAACCAGCACCGTGTGAATGCCATAATCAATGTTCCCAAGAAAGAGGAATCAGGATGCAATGTATAGAATGAACGTTGTAGGATGGCACTGGCTATCTCCCCTGCGAACCATCACATCTCCGGTGCTGTTGATCTCGAACCAGTAGGCCACCCACACCTCAAGTGGCATTTTAACCCGAGCAGTCGACTAATCCACCTACAACTTGAAATCACAGATTTCACTCATCAGATTCTCACAAAGTCCTGAAAATTTGGTAGGGAGGGACTCAGGAAATTGTAAGTGGGGGGCGGCCACCGACCCACTGACTTGTAGCACCAAAAGCGCAACAACGTCTTCCACGGTGATACCGAACTCATCGAATGCACCTACAAATGTGTGAGTAAAGGCAACACCAACATAGGTTTCACATAACGTACTCCCTCCTTACCAGAGAGATCCAGGAAGCAATCCACAAAACGAATGAGACCAGCATCTCGCAGCAAACGACAGAACATTGGATTGTCCAACATGTAGCATGCCCAGCTTGAATAGCTGATTGACGACTTCGAACTATCAGTCCTCGGCTTGTGACACCTAAACTATACGGGGCGGTTCAAACGACCATAGAGACACATCAATTCCTTTCCAACAATAGCGTTGAAACCCCCATCCTTGCCTCTCGATACTAGTATAGGGGGCCAAAAACCCTTGCCACCGTCGACCATCGTGGCTAATTCATGCTCCGACAGCATCTTTGTTGTGTCCACAACCCTGAAAAATTCGACAAATAGGCACTTGGACTTCTTCTAACAAGGAGCCATCGTTAAAGAACAAAGAGCAGGCAGGAAATAGGGAATAGTGCGTAGAGGGAGAAGAGAAGACAGAAAGAAAGCATGATCGACTTAGAACAACAAGGCAAGCAGAAAAGAACTACTAGCATGCGTACTGCCCTTTTATAGAAGCTTCGCACGAGTCTAAAATTCTAAATGGCGTCGGGGAAGACTAAACGAAATGATTGCTACTTCCCAGCCATTGATTAACTAAAAAGCAAACTAAATAAAATTATAAGCATACCCTCAAGAAAGCAGGACAATTGGCACATTCATTCAAAAGTGGCACTACATTGGCAACTGCCACTTCAAAATATTACACCTAATCTATGAGCCACACGCGCGATTGCAGAGCATTAATGTGAGATGATAGTTATAAAAAAGTACTAATGATGAATGCCACATTACTAGTGCATAACGGCTTCCCCACCAATCGAACAGTAGTCAAATGTGAAAAGTCACCCAAATGAAACACTACTTCATCCTGTGTATCCACGATGGGCACTTCACCAAAGATAGGGGGGCTGAAAATCAAAACCACCATCTCGTCTATATTCGGCAAAGCATTACCCTATCGTGAAACAAGGAGCTAAATCTCATATGGGACAACTTTCTCTGACTAGAGGGGGGCTAGAAGCCCAAACTCTGATGTATATAGTAGTTGTATTTTGACAATCCAATTCCAGTCAATAGATAGGGGATTAAGAACTTTGCTAATAAATTGAGTACAAAGTTGCCTATCGACAGAAAGCAAATTGTTAAAAGACAGGGGGTTGAATCACAGAATGAATGAAAACTAAGCCCAAAACAAATGCTCCCAATTCCTATTCAAAGACATTACTAAGTAGAATACCAGAATGCTTATTAATTGGTTCACATCTGTCAATAAGCATTTCATCAAGAACAGGAATGATGACCGGACTTAACGCAAAAAGATCAGAACACCACAACATCTACAATCTTATTCCACATCGCTTTATTACAAAACCCTAAAGAAAATTAGATGAAAAAAATGCTTATCAGTAAGTGGTTCCCACTTACCACTTACCGATAAGCAGGGGGGCTAATGTAGGTACATAATGGTCACTCAGACCGTCAAAGCACAAAGGGTGTCGAATCAATACTACACGGATGCCTGCGATGAGCCCACAACCCACTGCACTTTTGCAATGAGTTCATAACTCACCGCATATCTACGACAAACTCATACCTAGAATAGGTTGTAATGAACTTTAGCCTATGCGAATTTGCGATGAACTTTAGACACATGCAGACTTGCGATGAGCTTTAGACATGCGGGGACCCGCGATAACCTTTGGACACGCATAGATCTACGATGAGTTCAAAGCCATTACAAAACCGCGAAAAGCGTAGAATTATTGTAAACTGGAAATAAATATTAGAAACATGTGCATCTTTAAATTACTCGCATGACAGAATGCTCTATGGACCTAAGAAGGGCGTGTAGGCTAAATAATGATGTCACCCATGCCACGTCGGTTAAAAGGGTCACAAAAGGAAGTAGCACACGCGGATTATGAGAATCCTCAGATGAAAGGAATGTTCTCCCTTGAGATATCTCATAAGACATGTGGCGAAACCCTAGCAGTACTCCCTGACAACTAACAACAAATCCAATATTCCCTTTCCTTGTGGGAATTGAATGCTTTTGGCCCCTTCCTTTTGGGACCTCGGGATCTCTCCCTATAAATAGGGGTCCATCTCATAGCAAAATCATCACTTTGTCATCTCATTTGCCCTAACCTTTAGCTTACCTCCTGCACCCGGTCTTACTTTGTCCTTCAAGGAAACCCTCGTATACATTCAAGCCACACTACTCATAGAGGAGAAGAGAGGAGAGAAAGGAGAGTCCCCCTTTCTGAGAAACCCTACCAGTGGGTAAGAGTTATTCCCATTTACATAGAGAGGACCCCAAGGCCATAAGGAGAAGGATCTAAAAGGAGACATTTCCTATTAGGAAAGGGGATCTTTATGTCATCTATTAAGGATTCTCACATAGCACGTGTAGACAATGTCCCCTTACGGGTTTCCCAGTAACAACGTGTTAAAGGACAAGATCTGACTTGCAATGTTATCACAAGTCGACACCTATTGTTCACCATGGGTCCCAAGAGGTGTTTTATACTCATCGTAAGTCTTCAATGGCCTTTCTTGCTTATCGTAGATCCCGGGTAGCTTTTAAGCTCATCGCAAGCTTGTATAGGCTTTGAGCTCATCGCAAGCCTGTGTAGGCTCTGAGCTTATTGCAAATCTGTGTCGAGTCGTGAACTCACTTTGGGTATCTCTATTGCATTGGTTTAGCACCTTCTCTACTATTGCAATTATGGTGATCAACATGTACCTACAATTAGCCCCTTACTTATTGGTAAATGGAAACTTAACAATAAGCATTTTGTGTCGTTGGGCCGAGAAATTTTTAATTTGAGTAGTGTCAACACCCGATTTTAGCTCTGTTTGCCACCTGAACCTCCAATTTACCCCAAACACCCAATCAGACCCATTCAACCTCCCTGAAACATCCAAAAACCCAAAAATCCCAAATTTCACCCCGAAAGCCCTTAGATCCACCATTAAACCTACCTGATACCGATCCAATGGTCCCGGTCGACCCCCACTTGCACTTCAACCATTAGATCAGACACAATCATCAGACCCAAGACCTCGCAAAATACCTACCCATGAAATTTCAGCTCAAGATTCCTCCATTTACCCTTTCATCAAGCAAAGCTTCCATTTCAGTCGATCCCGTTAACCTAAACTCTCAGAACCCATATTCCTTTGATCTTGATACATCTGAACCAATAAAACCACACCATTAGACTTTGAATACATCAAAACACTTGCCTATAAAGTTTCAACCCCATATTTCCCCATTTACCCTTCCATCAAACCAAGATTTTGTTTCGAAATAACCCATTGACCCAAATTCCTACGATCTTGACTCTCTAACTAATCAAACATCATCATCATATCCTGGACACCTCCAAACACCCACCTATAAAAGTGCATCCCAAAGCACCTTTGCTTACCCATTCATCGCACCAAGACTCCATTTTGAGGCTCCAGATTGACCGGATTCCAAATCTGCCTGATCCGTGCCTAGTTAACCCAATCTCACCTTACCAATCACCTCAGGCTACCTAAAAATCCTACCCTATGATATCTCAGCCCAAAACACCTTTGTTACCCCTACATTGTACCAAGATTCTGTTTCAATGCTCCAAATTGGCCGAATCCCAAGTCCTTCCAATCTGAATCCATTTTACCCGATATGGTTTTACTAATCATCTCAGACTATCCAAGAAACCTACCCTAAGAAGTTTCATCCAAAACAGACCCCGTTTACCCCTCGATCACATGTAGATTTCATTCCAGGGCTCTCTCTCCCTCTCTCTCTCTCTCTCTATATATATATATATATATATATTTTTTTTTTGAACTGAAATAAAATCCTATACTCCCCCCCCCACACACACACATTTAGTCTACGTACTGTCTTCAATGTAAGGTAAAAAGAAAAGGTGGAAATAACTTAACTATAAATGCAAAAAACAAGAAAAAAAAAGGAAAAACAAACTTCCCTGTTTTTAATCATAAACCGGATCCTCCAGGTCTTGTAGTTGCAACTTCCGATGCCTTCCCCTTTCATCTATCATGGGTGGGTTCAAATCCGGAATAGGGGCCTGCAAAACAGAGGGTACAGGTTTCTTGTTAGGAATCGGCAACATAATATAAGGAGCATTACCTAACTGTTGTAACTCTGGAGAACCATTCAATGCTGCAAGAGTTTCTTGCAATTTAGAACTCCAGGTTAACTCCTCTTTCTCAGGATGCTTACTAATGGTGATTTCGAATACATCCTTCCCATCAAAATCAAAAACTTCTTGTGTTGGATCCTTGCATTTAGGAGGTAATTCCTTTTGGAGGATTGCTGAAACATTTTCCCCTATGTGGACTTTCTCATCACCTTTCAACTTATTTTTAGTGGTGCACAACTCCTTAAGGAATTTAGCATAGTGGGGTACTTGCTTCATTGCATCAAGGAGGGGAATATTTACCTCAACCTTGCGGAATGTCTCAAGAATATCCTTGTCTTGCTCCTCCTTGGATTTTGCAAATCGACTAAGAAAGGTGGAGGGATCACTATGGCTTGGGGCTTTTTACCACTTGGATCTTGAGTTTGGGGTGGCAGTGCTTCCTTTTCTATTTCCTCTTCAGTTGTATTCTTAGGCACTTCCTTGCTAGGTCTATTCAGCTCCTTTCCGCTTCTCAAGGTGATCGCATTAACATTCTGCTTCGGGTTGACCATGGTCTAGGAGGGTAGCCTTCCTGATACTTGAGATTCCATTCGACTCATAGCAGTTGCCAATTGGCTGACCTGATTCTCCAAGTTTCGGATGTAAGTCCTTGTCTCCTGTTGAAATTGTTGAGTGTTAGTTGCAAGTGCTTTAACAATTTCATCTAGAGACATACCTGGGTTAGACGATAAATATTGTGGAGCCAGTGGTCTAGACTGATATTGTTGTTGGAAGTCGAAGGGCTTGGCTCCGTAGCTAAGGTTAGGATGATCCCTCCATCCTACATTGTAGGTATTTGAGTAGGGATCGTATCTCTTTTGTGGGAATCCTCCAACAGCATTAGCTTGTTCATAAGGTTCATCTTGAAGCGTAGGGCACATGTCGGTTGGATGTCCCGGAGTTGAACAAATCCCGCAAGCCTTCACCATTTGCGTGTTACCTGTGGCCAATTAACAGACAAGAGAGGTCAGGCTTGCAATTTTTTGTTCTAGGGAGGAGATGTTTACCTCGTTAGCATGGGTTGCTGGAGGGTTGAGCCTATAGCTGAATTGTTGAGAGTTGACTGCCATGTTCGAGATCAATTCTCTTGCTTGTGTAGGAGTTTTGTTCACCAACACTCCTCCGCTTGCCGCATCGATCATACTCCTATCCATTGGCAATAACCCTTCGTAGAAAAATTGGATAAGGAGTTGATCTGGAATCTGATTTTGTGGACAACTGGCACAAAGCTACTTAAATCTCTCCTAATATTCGTAGAGAGTTTCTCCACTGAATTGTCTTATGCCA